GCTGCGGGTCTGCAGCTGGATATATCTCTAACCAACAACAGAAGCATTAGCTTTAGCAATCCACAACAACAGTGACAATAGTACCAATAACAATACATTTAGCTCTGCAATTATGCCCACTGATTCCCTCCCACCTCCACCAGCGACACCCAAGCCCCGTAGCTGAGCTTCTAAGCTCCATTGGGTCTCCCTCTAAAGACCACCACAGGCACCTCCAAACCAAGCTCCCCCATGCAGTCTGTTTGTGGCCTGTGTAAAAAGGGCCACGAAATCGATCCAAATGGTGGAGTTCGATTCGTGGTGAAGGTTTCAAGCGTGTTCCGTCTTTCCCATGGCAAAGTGATTTTTAATTAAATGCAATACATTTAATCTTATGTATTAACTCGTTTCATCTGACTCCATAAAATGAAAAGGGTTTATCAGTGATATCTGTGCAACATTAAATACACGTTAATGCTTGACTATTCCTTTTAACTCTAATGGAAATAAAGTCAAAGTCTGTTAGAATAGCCAAATATAACAATTTATTATGTCAGGTAAATGTATCATTAGACTTCCACAAGATACTCAATGCAAACCATTAAATGTTTCATAGAACAAAGAACTTTACCCAACATATTACATGAGTTGAGCCTAGACACAACATCATGGGCTGATCCAACGCGTTCTCATCCCAAAGCGCCATGTACAACGCTTTTGCAAAAGCGTAAATATCCAACGCACATGGCATCCTTTAACGTCAAATGAGACACTTCGGTTATGGTTAAGTTTAGGTATGGTGTAGGGTAAGGGCTAGACCACTAGGGGGCGCCTTCTGCCGAAATATATCTGCGTCTCATTTGACGTTAAAGGGTGCCATGTGCGTTGGATATTTACGCGTTTGCAAAAGCGTCCTATATGGCGCTTTGGGATGAGAACGGGCTCATATATCTGCGTCTCATTTCACGTTAAAGGGTGCCATGTGCGTTGGATATTTACGCTTTTGCAAAAGCGTCCTATATGGCGCTTTGGGATGAGAACAGGCTAGCTGATCTGAATACAGAATGGCAGCCACGAACTCTTGTTGCATCTCCCTTTATAACCAGACCTCATTTCATATGCAAGTTCCAGTGGAAATGTACTGTATTCCCAGCCATGCTTACTGGGGGAAGGAGCTTAGAACAGTGGAAATAAGCATTTACAGCTTTAAGTCCCTAGAGAGCACACTCCTTTGTGTAACAGTTATTCCTAAACTTCTTAAAAACCTTATTATCTTTTCTTTTCCTTCTTTGGGAATGAGACATTATTACCAGTCACCCTGAGGCTTTCAAAATGATATCAAACACTTCTTAAAGATTATCATTCACATTAAAAACATATATATTCTTGAGAGTTTTCAATTTACTGACTGAAGAGGAGAGAGAGAGCGAGAATGTGGAGGGGGTAGGGTGTCAAATGTTAATCTGTAAGCAATGCCATTGGTAACACTTTATTTTACGACCCGCAAACAACTGTGTAAGTACAGTGAAATTACAGTGTACGTTTCTGTAATTATAGTGTACTTCCGTGTAAGTATAAGGGAACAATATGTTAAGTTTAGGGTAATATAGGGGTAACAAACAGATATACACCCTGCAAATAACTTCGTAAGTACACTGAAAATACGGTGTACATTTCTGTAATTATAGTGTACTTCCGTGTAAGTATGGCAACAATATGTTAAGTTTGGGGTAATAAAGGGGTAACAAGCAGATATACAAGCAAATTATTTAATTAGTTAAAAAAAAAAAAAAAACAGGAACTAATACTGTTAATATATTCCAGGCAAAAATTGTACGTCTGTTGTTTATAAAATGTATCACATTTCTGGCAAAATATGTTCTTGTGCAATGTTACAGGGTAATTTTGACATCTGTGGGTTAAACATTAAACACACACACACACACACACACACACATATATATATATATATATATACTATGATAAAAATAAAATGTATTGGCTTTTCTTACTAGATTACTTAATGTTAAGTCAAAACAATTTGTTTGTGCCATGATTTTAATTTAGACCGTACAATGTGGTAATTAGTACTTACCTTATACCATTGAATTGCAATAACAATTAAATGTCAGGGCAAATGTACTGTGCAATTAAAACGCTTTTTTTGTTTGTTTTTTTATAACAGTACCTTTCTCTGCAATTACAGTGCAAATAGTGTTGTTTCGTATTGCTACATACTAGTAAGTAGCTTTGATACCCCCTTGTTCTGCATAGTTACAGGGTAACTCCTGCGGGCTGTAAATTAAAGTGGTGCTTGTTACCCTCTTGTTCCATGTAGTTACAGGGTAAGTGTAACTCATGTGGGCTGTAAATTAAAGTGGTGCTTGTTACCCCCTTGTTCTGTGTAGTTAAAGGACAACTCCGGCGCAAAATGAACCTTTGGTCTAATTACACATTGTTACCTAGTCAACCGTTATCTGAGATTTTTTTTCATGATTGTCGAATGTAAATAGTTTTATCTATAAAAACAGTTTAGCCTATAATGCTAGTATAATGCTAGTATATAAGGCATAGAGTAATGACAAATAAAAATCGCTTGTTATTACCACTAACAAGGCTCAAAATAACCCCACAGTAACACGGTAGCACAATAAGGATCCCTACATTCAAACCGAAGCATTGAGAACGTTGTCAGTGTCCATACCGTTTAATGAGAAGATATTTTATACACACAGTCAACTTTGCGAATACAGGAAGAAGCCATCTTTGAAAAATTGTCTCTACCAGTCGATCTACGAACGCCGATCCAAGTGCGCTGGTGAGATGTGAATAAAGTGATAATGTGAGCGCGAACAGTAGACAACATGTACATATTAAAGAGAAGAAAATGGTTTGTGTTTGTGTTTCTTCCGGAAACAATGGACCATATAAGATTCTGCACAGTTCAGCGCACTTGGATCGGCGTTCGTAGATCGACTGGTAGAGACTATATTTTAAAGATGGCTTCTTCCTGTATTCGTGAAGTTGACTGTGTGTATAAAATATCTTCTTATTAAACTGTATGGACACTGACAAAGTTCTCAATGCTTCGTTTTGCATGTAGGGATCCTTATTGTGGTACCGTGTTACTGTGGGGCTATTTTGAGCCTTGTTAGTGGTAATAAAAAGCGATTTTTATTTGTCATTACTCTATGCCCTATAGACTAGCGTTATACTAGCATTATAGGCTAAACTGTTTTAATAGATAAAACTATTTAGATTCGGCAATCATGAAAAAAAATCTCAGATAACGGTTGAATAGGTAACAATGTGCAATTAGACCAAAGGTTCATTTTGCGCCGGAGTTGTCCTTTAACACGGTGTGGGCTGTAAATTAAAGTGGTGCTTGTTACCCCTATATTACCCCAAACTTAACATATTGTTCCCTTATACCTACACGGAAGTACACTATAATTACAGAAATGTACACCGTAATTTCAGTGTACTTACACAGTTGTTTGCGGGTCGTAAAATAAAGTGTTACCATGCCATTTGTCTTCAGAGGGCACGGGTGAGATATTTTCTCTTTAACCAGTTTTCCAGTCTTACACCTGACATAACCAATTGTTATGGGTGGTTAATCATCTTGAAATTTTATTTCATTGGGCCGTAAATGTTCTGCTGCATTTTAGTTTCTTTTTTTATTATTATTATATGTCATGTGATTTATAAGAATCAGATCATAGATGGGGTGTGGTGAGTTACTTTAAACACTGTGTGCAGATAAGAAAACAAGCACTCACATTGCATGATGGATTCAATCAGATCAGTGGACTAATGAAAGACATTTCATTTTGCATAGAAAAAAAAAACACATTTCAAAATGTTTGGCTTGGCATAATTAAAACTGTAGTTTATTAAAGACAATATTAATAATAAACAGATCTGCTGAATATTGATTGAATAAAGCATTACAGTCCGATGGATTGAAGTGAAAGCTGAGGCTAATTACAAACACAATAAGCTGGATAGGGAACACTATTAATCATAAAGAAGTCATGCAACTTAGCAAAGAATGTATAATACATAATGTATAAGCATAATACATTTTATGATTGTAAAAACAAACAATACACTCTCAGAAAAAAAGGTACAAAAGCTGTCACTGGGGCTGTACCCTATTAAGTACATTTCATGTGCTAATATGTACATTTTACGTGTTAATATGTGCATTTTATTGGGTAAAATGTACATTTTAGGTACTAATATGTACATATCATGAGCTAATATGTCCATTTTAGGTGGTAATATGTAAATTTTTAGGTGGTAATATGTCCATTTTAAGTGTTAATATGTCCATTTCATGAGCTAATATGTTCATTTCAGGTGCTAATATGTACATACCATGTGCTAATATGTACATTTTAGGTGCTAATATGTACCACTATGGTACCAATATGCAGCTTTTGGGTACTAAAGTGTACCTTTTGAAAAGGTACAGTCCCAGTGACAGCGTTTGTACCTTTTTTTCTGAGAGTGCATAACAGTTTCTTGCCCAGTTTCTTGAAACAAGTTTCTTGTTTGTTTGTTTCTTTGTTTCTTTCTTGCTTTCTTTCTTGTTTTCTTTCTTTCTTTCTTTCTTTCTTTCTTTCTTTCTTTCTTTCTTTCTTTCTTTCTTTCTTTCTTTCTTTCTTTCTTTCTTTCTTGTTTTCTTTCTTTCTTTCTTTCTTTCTTGTTTTCTTTCTTTCTTTCTTGCTTTCTTTGATCTGTATTGTACCATTGAAAATCTTTTGTCAGTTATGGTCATATTTTGAAAACATGTTTAAAAAAAGAGGAGAAGAAATAATTTAAAATCAATCAAAATGTAATCACAACTTTCTGAAATATTTATCTCAGGTGAAAAGGTGATAGTTATGCATTCCTGGTCTTGCAGGTGTCATAATCATATCTCTGAAAGCACGCACACACGGCAGGAAGAATGTCTAGCGAACTCACCTATTAGATTTGGTTGGGAGGGACTTTGTTCATCAATAAATAGAGTTTTTCAGTCAGAGCTGACGATCATTCAACCAGACACTCTTCACTGACTCCAGGTGTGTATGAATATTCATCTTTCTTCTTCTAAGTAGTTCATTTAGGTCTTAACATGATATTCCTCCTCTTACACCTATTTAAACGGATTTGTTTATTTACAACACTGTTTTACAAATAAACATTTATTCTGAAGCATTAATGTATTATTTTATTGTCAGCAGATATCTGATCTTCTGCAAGCTTCAATTCAGCACCCGCTACAGATTCTAGGTGAGCTGAATATTCTACTACAATGAATTAAGGAATTCACATATTAAAGTTCCATTAAAAAGATAATATATATATTAGGTGTGGAGCGTAATCACACCAGTCTCTGTGAAAACACCACATGTCCTGTGTGTGTCTACAAAAATATTCATTTATAAACCAGTTTTCCAGTTACATAAAAAGTTTATATTTACATTTCCAGGTTTTTTTTTTTTTTTGATATGTTAGTGCAGCTCTTGGAGACATGACAAAAATCTACAAACCAAAGAAAAATGAGAAATCTCTGAGAGCCAATTTAATTCTCCTGTACACACACACTGCAGGATTCCTCAAATCTGTTTCTGAGAGCAACTGTCCTACAAAGTTTAGTTCCAGCCCTAAATACACTTAAACCAACTAGTCAAGGTCTTCAGAGTTACTCGAAAATTCCCGGTATACGAGTTTGATCAGTGTTGGTTGGAGATTAACTCTGCAGGACATTTACCCTCCAGGGCCAGATTTGAGGAATCCTGCTATAATTGAAACTAATTTCTGTTCATAATGATTTCAGAATATTTCACAAATATAATTCTGAAAACAAAGTAGAATGCAGTTTGTTTTTAGTGGATATCAATTTGCTACCAAGTGCTCTTCCTTAAAAGTGTTTATTGGCTATATGTGTATTCAGTTTTATGTGTACATGCATAACTTTTGTTTCAATCGGACCTAATTCATTATGATTGACGAATCTGAACGTAGTGTTTACATGAACGCTAAATGTGATCGGGTTGATGTGCGTGTTTATATCTCACAAGCTTGAAATCTGAATAGATTTTTTTATGCACTGATTGATATGACAGTTTTAAATCATCTTAGAAGACTATTTACTATTTATTAACCCTTATGCTGCATTAGGGACATTTTTGGTCTTTAGCAGTTTAATTTCTTTGACCATTTTGGCTGTTTTAATGCAAATGATATGTAATTTGGCAAAATTGTGACTTTTTGGATAAATGTAAAAAATGTGATCCAAATTTGCAAAATATGTATAACACACACTGTGTAGATCAAATAGTAACACTCAGCACCATAAAGACCAAAAATGGCCCATTGAAACCCATTAAAACGTTGTTTAAATCTGAGGCTGTCATTAATACATGAAACATGATTTTTGCTCAAACATCCTTTCATTTTGAAGCAAAAGCATTATATTTGCATTATATAGTGTATTCCACCATGATGTCACTACATCTGTATTCCCTGTGGGTGGAAATGCACCTTATTTTCCTGGTTTCCACTAGGGGCAGTATGGAGTGTGTTATGACGCATTTTAATGGCTCAATGATCTAAAATTATGTTTCTGAGTATGTGTGGATGTCTGAGAGCAATGTGTGTGTGTGTGTGTTGACAAAAGTGTGTGTGTGTGTGTGTAGGGCCTAAATATAATACATGGTGTTTGTGTGAGTGGCAAATCCCAATATCCTAAAGGTCATATTTTACCCTTTCTGTTTACTCTCTCTATCTAGAGAAAGCGCTTCTCACTGCATTGTTTTCTTTCGGTTTGATTCATGCATATTTTACGCACAAACATGAATCTTTTAAATTTTGCGCATCTTTGACATCTTTTTTAGCAGTCTATGTTTCAAAGTTAATTGATAACTTCGCACGTATGAAGAGGCACAAACACAGCCATGCAGTCAGTCCTTAGACAATAATAGACAATAATAACGAAGTCTGCCTTTCATACAAGTGTGGTTGATGCAAAAGTTATAAAGCTTTGCACATCTTTGGTGCAGCAATTTTAAACTCGAAAAGAAAATCTAGTGGGTCTGCAGACACCCATGACAAGAAGAGGAGGGGGTGCAGTTTCAGCCCTAGCAAAAAAGAAAAATCTCCACTACCTGCTCAAAATGTGGCATTTTCATCTGTAAAGCTCAACTTCAGACAACAGCAAAAGAGGCAAAACGAGTGGGTCTTGAGGTCAACATTAAAAAGAAGGAAGCAACCAAGAACTTACCGGGCCACAGACGCCGATCCACCTATATCAATTCATCGAACTCGACGGACAAAAACTCGAATGGACAAAAGACCGTCGTTCAATTATCTTGGCTCTGTCATTGCATCGAGCGAAACAGACATCAGAGCACGAAAAGGACAAGTGTGGGGACCATTCTGGAAAATGAAGGATGTATTTCTGTCAAAGACTCCTCCAATCAAACTCAAACTAAACATCTTTGAAGCAGCGTGCATTTCCATCCTCCTGTACGGCTGCGAAAGTTGGATTATCAACCAGAAAATGCAAAACTCACTCAACAGCTTCGCCACCAGTTGCTACAGAATCTTGGCATAAAGAAGATGGATCGAATAAGTAACCAAGCTGTATACAAAGCTGTCGAAAAGAACCAGCTTATCCTTCAAATCCAAGGCAGCTACGCTTTGTCGGCCACTCACTTAGAAGAGACCCAAATAACCAAATTAACAAATATGTGTTATATGCACCCAAAGAATGACATGGCAAACGAAGCCAAGGAAAGCCACGCACATTATACCATACATACATCGGCAAACTAATCAACAATGACATGCCACCAACAGCTGACGAGATGCGAAGAGCTGCTAGTAATCGAACAGAGTGGAGAAAACTTGTGACCGACTGCAAACCTGTTTTGTTCGCAGCCGATTGATGGTGATTACATCTGTAAGGAGCATGCATTGCAATTCTGCAGCTCCTGCAAATGAGCTGAAGAATGACCCCATTTTGTTTTGAAGTTTTGATATGTTTTATGTTTATAGAATACTTTTTTTTTTTTTAGAGAATTCATGTTCATGGCATATTCAAGACTGTGATAATCCAAAGTCAAGGGTTTCTCTTTGCATTTAGTTTACTGAAAATAATTGAATTTTTGTGTTTTTTCCTCTTATACTAATCGATGGTTTCGCCACCAAAACTGGTAATTAAAGGGTTAAAATCCTGAAATGGAATACATTTTTGGTAGTTATGATGAGGACTGATGCTGATTAAAAGATTTAACTTGGTAAAAGTGGAAAATAATAATAATATATATTATTTTAGGCAATATTTAATATGTGGCCGTTTTTGGTCTGTAACACGCTAAGTGTCGTTTTTTTTTTTAAATCTGGCATAACACAAAATCTTTAAATGCACCAGTAATAATGTTGCTGCTGATCTTTGACATATGCAAGACTGTGATAATCCAAACCTAAAGTTTTCTCTTTGCATTTAGTTTATTGAAAATATTGAATTTTTGTGTTTTTTCCTCTTATACAAATCGATGGTTTCGCCACCAAAACTGGTAATTAAAGGGTTAAAATCCTGAAATGGAATACATTTTTGGTAGTTATGATGAGGACTGATGCTGATTAAAAGATTTAACTTGGTAAAAGTGGAAAATAATAATAATATATAATATTTTAGGCAATATTTGATATGTGGCCATTTTTGGTCTCTAACGCGCTAAGTGTCGTTTTTTTTTTAAATCTGGCATAACACAAAATCTTTAAATGCACCAGAAATAATGTTGCTGCTGATCTTTGACATATTCAAGACTGTGATAATCCAAATCTAAAGTTTTCTCTTTGCATTTAGTTTATTGAAAATAATTGAATTTTTGTGTTTTTTCCTCTTATACAAATCGATGGTTTCGCCACCAAAACTGGTAATTAAAGGGTTAAAATCCTGAAATGGAATACATTTTTGGTAGTTATGATGAGGACTGATGCTGATTAAAAGATTTAACTTGGTAAAAGTGGAAAATAATAATAATATATAATATTTTAGGCAATATTTAATATGTGGCCATTTTTGGTCTCTAACGCGCTAAGTGTCGTTTTTTTTTTAAATCTGGCATAACACAAAATTGCTTAAATGCACCAGAAATAATGTTGCTGCTGATCTTTGACATTCAAGACTGTGATAATCCAAATCTAAAGTTTTCTCTTTGCATTTAGTTTATTGAAAATAATTGAATTTTTGTGTTTTTTCCTCTTATACAAATCGATGGTTTCGCCACCAAAACTGGTAATTAAAGGGTTAAAATCCTGAAATGGAATACATTTTTGGTAGTTATGATGAGGACTGATGCTGATTAAAAGATTTAACTTGGTAAAAGTGGAAAATAATATTAATATATAATATTTTAGGCAATATTTAATATGTGGCCATTTTTGGTCTGTAACACGCTAAGTGTCGTTTTTTTTTTTAAAATCTGGCATAACACAAAATCTTTAAATGCACCAGAAATAATGTTGCTGCTGATCTTTGACATATTCAAGACTGTGATAATCCAAATCTAAAGTTTTCTCTTTGCATTTAGTTTATTGAAAATAATAGATTTTTTGTGTTTTTTCCTCTTATACAAATCGATGGTTTCGCCACCAAAACTGGTAATTAAAGGGTTAAAATCCTGAAATGGAATAAATTTTTGGTAGTTATGATGAGGACTGATGCTGATTAAAAGATTTAACTTGGTAAAAGTGGAAAATAATAATAATATATAATATTTTAGGCAATATTTAATATGTGCCCATTTTTGGTCTCTAACGCGCTAAGTGTCGTTTTTTTTTTTTTTAATCTGGCATAACACAAAATCTTTAAATGCTCCAGAAATAATGTTGCTGCTGATCTTTGACATATTCAAGACTGTGATAATCCAAATCTAAAGTTTTCTCTTTGCATTTAGTTTATTGGAAATAATTGAATTTTTGTGTTTTTTCCTCTTATACAAATCGATGGTTTCGCCACCAAAACTGGTAATTAAAGGGTTAAAATCCTGAAATGGAATAAATTTTTGGTAGTTATGATGAGGACTGATGCTGATTAAAAGATTTAACTTGGTAAAAGTGGAAAATAATAATAATATATAATATTTTAGGCAATATTTAATATGTGCCCATTTTTGGTCTCTAACGCGCTAAGTGTCGTTTTTTTTTTTTTAAATCTGGCATAACACAAAATCTTTAAATGCTCCAGAAATAATGTTGCTGCTGATCTTTGACATATTCAAGACTGTGATAATCCAAATCTAAAGTTTTCTCTTTGCATTTAGTTTATTGAAAATAATTGATTTTTTGTGTTTTTTCCTCTTATACAAATCGATGGTTTCGCCACCAAAACTGGTAATTAAAGGGTTAAAATCCTGAAATGGAATAAATTTTTGGTAGTTATGATGAGGACTGATGCTGGTTAAAAGATTTAACTTGGTAAAAGTGGAAAATAATAAAAATATATAATATTTTAGGCAGTGTTTAATATGTGGCCATTTTTGGCCCTTAATGCACTCAACGGTGTTAAAAATCTAATGCAGCACAAGAGTTAATGTCCCGTAACTAGGAGACAAGTAAAGAAGCCATGTAGGTCCACCTCTCAAATTTAATAAAAAAATATCTTCATTTGTGTTCCGAAGATGAACGACGGTCTTATGGGGTTGGTACAGCATGGGGGTGAGTAATTATGACTTGTTATTATGGGTGAATTAACCCTTTAATGTGTACATTTGTTGTTTAGAACATGGAAACTCCAGACGCTGCTGTTGCTGAGGCAATAAAGGCATCAGGCGAGTCCACCCTGGAAAAGGCTACAGCAAAAGCTAAAGAAACAATTGATCAGTTGTTTAATGTCTCACTTAACGTCGCTGTGACTGGAAATACAGGATCTGGGAAATCCTCCTTTGTAAATGCACTTAGAGGGATAAAAGATGATGATGATGGAGCAGCACCAACTGGAGTTACCGAAACTACAATGGAAGCCACCATGTACACACATCCGACAATGCCAAATGTGAAGATCTGGGACCTGCCTGGAATAGGAACACCAAACTTCAAAGCAGAAAAATACCTTAAAGATGTCAATTTTAAGAACTATGATTTCTTCATTATTCTTAACTCACAAAGGTTCACACAAAATGACATCATGCTGGCTAAAGAAATAAGAAAACAGAAGAAAAACTTTTACTTTGTTCGTTCCAAGATTGACAATGACCTCAGGGCAGAGGAAAAGAAAAAGGGATTTGATGAGCAGAAACTTCTCTCCAAAATAAGAGACTACTGTGAAAAAAACCTAGAAGATGTGGGAGAACCTAAAGTTTACTTGATATCGTCTTTTGACTTGGAGAAATATGATTTTGAAATACTTCAAAACACTCTCGAAGAAGATCTTCCAGACCATAAGAGATCTGCTCTTCTACAAGCCTGGCCAGTGTGCTCAGCAGAATCTCTCGAGAAGAAGATCAAATTCTTCCAACGCATGATCTGGGCTGCATCTTTTGCCTCTGCTGGTATAGCCGTGGTCCCTCTGCCGGGTCTTTCAGTAGCATGTGATTCAAGCATGGTGTTGCTTTTCCTGTCAAGGTGCTACTATTCGTTTGGTTTGGATGAAGGATCATTGTCAAAGCTTTCAGAAAAAGTGAACAAGCCCCACCTGAAAGATATGCCCAAATCAAAGTTATTTGCTGCCATGAAAGACAAAGTTTTTACCAGAGTAAGCAGTTCTGCTGCACTCACTGCCATTACCACTGTTGAACTTTTGTTTAGTCTCCTTCCAGGTGTGGGCAGTGCTGTTGCGGCAGGAATCTCCTTCACGACGACTGCGTACCTCTTGAGAGAAGGATTAAATGATCTGGCAGAAACTGCTCGAAGTATCAGAAAAGAAGCTGGGCTGGATATAGCCTAAAACTACAAGCAGACAATCTATGTTGTTCTAGTTTGTTCCCTTCATTGATATATGTACAATAAAGCATGAATTGTTTTCTGTTAGACTGTGTGGGGGTTTAGCAAAGAGAATAACACTCTTCATAATATTAAAACAGCATTATGCTAATGTGCATAAAAACTATATAGGCCTACTGGAATATATGATAACTTTAAATAGTTGATAATTGCACTTTGAATTTTTCCATTGTGTTTTTTCCATTACTTTTCTCAGTCTGACATCCAATCATTTCAAATGTCTCATTTATCATATATATATATATATATATATATATATTACTTTTTTTTTTATATATCTCTACTTTTTTAATTGAAATCTTGATTCTGTTCCACACATAATCATGTAAAAATGTCTCATCCATAAAATAAAATCAAAATGTTTCTATATTTTTTTTTGTGTGATAACTGTTTATGGAGGTAAACTACTCCACATATTTTTATAAGATAGATAGATAGATAGATAGATAGATAGATAGATAGATAGATAGATGGAAACACAGATGATTCACATTGTCCTCTTTCCTGTGATTACATTAAGTTTTGAGATGGCTGATTTATGATTTTATGGTGAAATTTGTGGTTCTTGGAAGTAAAACCTGGCTAACCGAAGATTTGATACAATAATAACTAAAAACAGACTCAAAATTTTAATAGGCCAATCGGGCTGTTCTTATGGGATAGCATCGTGCTGTTGTAGCGGGACCTTAAAGGGTTAGTTCACCCAAAAATGAAAATTCTGTCAGTATTTACTCACCGTCATGTTGTTCAACCCCGTAAGACCTTCGTTCATCTTCAGAACACAAATTAAGATATTTAAGATATTAAGATCACTCCTGCATACTAGTCCATAGGCTTCTTGAGGGAATGACTTGCTGTCCTCAAAAAGTCATTAAAGGACATCGTTAAAATAGTCCAAGTGACTACAGGGGCTCAATCTTAACTTTATCAAACGACGAGAACACTTTTTGTGCGCAAAAACAACAAAAATAACGACTTTATTTCAACTTTAATTTTCGACTTTTCGATGCCAGCAAGAGTCATTCCCTCAAGAAGCCTATGGACTGTATGCAGGAGCGATCTTAATATCTTAAATATCTCAATTCGTGTTGCGAAGATGAACGAAGGTTTTACGGGGTTGGAACAACATGAGGGTGAGTAAATACTGACAGAATTTCCATTTTATAGGTGAACTAACCCTTTAATGGTACAATGTGCAGGATTTTGCAGTAAAATATCCAAAAACCACTAGGCCAATAGGAAAATTAAGATTCTCCAAGGCACTCGAGTGGTGCATAAAAATTAAAAGGCCTTTATTTAGTCATGTCCTTAAAAATGGTGACAGATACATCAGATGCACCTACGTGTTGCAGCTTTATGCCTTCGTTAAGCCAAGTTCACACTACACGATTTTAAGCCCGATTTATGCCCGATTTGCAAATCGTTGAGTCGCCGACAGGTCAGGGTGTTATCGCATGCAAATCGCGGGAGATTAGCGGACGATGAACGCTTGCCAATCTGTTAGTATGAAAGAGCCAACAACGCAGCGAAAACGCTCGCAGACGCGTCGCCGAGCCCAGAAAAATATCTAGCCTGCTAGATATCCAGAGCCGTCGCGCGACTCAAACTCAGTGATGTCATGAGTACAGCCAATCATAGCAACGCATGGGTTGAGGACACCAGGTAAATCTTAGTTTTTCTCTCTTTTTTTGCATTTTTTCCCTCAGAGCAGATCGTCGCGAAAACAGTGTGCAGCACTAGTTTCTGTCTGACGTCCATATTCACGTGTTGTGTTCTCTTCTTCGCTGGGTATTGGCGCAATATTTATTTATTGCGTGTTTTTATCGTGACAAAACGTGGTTTGTTGACAAGATAGAATCGTTGGCTGACAGAGTTGTTGTCAACTTGTTATTTATTTGATTATTTTTAGGATTTAGACCGTAACATAGTACTGAAACAGCTCTCATTAGAGTAATAAAAATGATTTACATTATCATCCGATCGTGGTTGTATCTCTATGTAGTGCGTTGTCAACTCGTGTAGCGAGTTACCTTCTGTTGTGGATCAATCACGTTGTGTTGTGTGGTGTGAACAGCTAAACAACTTGAATACTCCAGATTTCACTGAGAGCAAGTCATGTAGTGTGAACCACACAGTTCAGCCCGACGTTTTAAAATCATGTAGTGTGAACAAGGCATCAGGGTGCGTATAACAGAGACAAATGTTCTTGTAACAGGGACAACAGAATAAGTACTCAATATATGGGTTAAATAAAGCCTATAGGTTCGACTCTAGGAGGATTAAGTAAAAATTAGACCAAATTTAACTCAATTAACAGCTGGCTCTGTAATAGATTCATCCACAAATTTTGAAGCTGGGTCTGTAATAGATTCATTACCACTGATTATAGAGCTCCCTGGTGGATTTTTAAGATTTTTATAAAAATCTTAAAAATCCACCAGGGAGCTCTAAAATACATAAATGTATTTTGGGAAGCATTTAGAAAGTAGAAATCCTAGGATTTTTACAGAAAAGAAAACCACATTCATTTTTTGAAATCCATCCCTCATATTTAGCATGTCAGTTCATTTTTGATTCGTTCTATTGGATTGGATTTCATCTGTAGTCCCTGGGCCGAGGCAAAATAACAGCAGGTTCAGTGGACAAAGAGCATTCTTACTAATTAATTAATTCACAATATTAAATATAAATACAGCACCAGCAAAATGATCACCTCAACAAACATGAAATTGCAATATTTACAGTATAATTCTCATTTTTATGTTTCACAATTCTGACCATCTTTCAACCACTTCTTCAAGTTAAGTTTAAACTGTTGCAATTTATTACTGTCACGAACGATTAATGGCAACATATTCCACATTCCTGCAGCTTTCAATTCTGTCCAAAAGTTGAAGAAGAGAAGTTGACATAACAATCTCCTCAAGAGGAGGCTCGCGTTGTTCTAGGTCCTGCCTCATCACGAGATTTAAACATTCTCAGGGTGTCACGAACACACACATCAGAAAATCCAGTTGCAGTGATTTAATTAAGGGCAATCAATCTCGTAGTCATCCAGGCAAGGTTCAAAGTCCATGTTATCAATCCAAATATAAAATAAACAAACAAACAAAACAAGAAACCGGCAAGGAACACAGAACTCCAAAGTGTGCTGACATAAAACAACGACTCCGTACACATACTAACACAGACTGGGAATATACACATATCATGTGCTATGGCAATTATGGTGACGTGGAAAATGCACATGAACACCCCCTCATGTGGTATTTTCTACTGGGCAACTCGTAGAATATTTTGATGGACGAGTTGCCGAGATTAGATAACCTTTGAACTTTTCAAAATGGCGGAGAGCACCACGAGAGTCGTGAATGGTAAAAATATATATGTATTCATGATCTAGAAAATATAGCATATTATTTACCTTTTGAGTTTTGATAAATCATTTTCTTGCTGTTGCAGATGACTCAGCCCAGTGCTGAAAGCACTTGAACGCAACACACTGGTAAATACCAGTTCACAAGTGGAAAATATCCTACTTTCCATAGCATGTGAACGCAGCATAACACAGAACAGCTGGGAACAATGATTATGGGGAACAGCTGAGTGCAATGATCAGTAAGTGACAGAACAGGATGATGGGAAATGCAGTTCAGATAGTGAATGACACAGTGGGGAAGGAGGACATCTAGTGGACAAACAAGGGAACACATCCAGACACTGTGACACAGGGGCTGAGCGGCCAGATCATGACGAATTTTGTTTGACATCTGAAAACAAAATAAAATTCTCAAAAGATAATCATTTATATTTCTGTACAATATTACAGTAGTGATATGTAACTGTTTTTTTTTTATCTAAAATTTTAAGCGCTTGTTTATACAAGCTTTGAAGCGGCTGTAACACAGATTTGGTTGACAGAGACCAATTTGTGATGCAGTAAAATGAGAAAATATCAACATGCAAATAAAGCTTAGCTGCGTCTGTGCTCTTTTCGGGGGGAATATATCTGAGCTGCAATAAATTAAATTTGACAGTTTTTATCAATTTTGAAACATGCTTTTTAAACAACAGTGTCCTATCCAACACTGGCAAGTATCATAAAATAAGTTGATTATTTGCTGTAAATAATTGAGAAAGAAACCCGAATGCGTATAAGCATTTGTCTTAAAATGAGAGCAGTCTAATATTCCCGCAGCTGTTTGTTAATCCAATGTTAATCAAACAACAAAAGAGAAAGAGAAAATCACTTTTATAGCTTTAACACAGATAAATTGTATTAATTATATTAACATTTAATTTATAAAGAGAATACTATAGTCTTATTTTACATTTGATTATTTAATGTCTGTACCTCCCTACACTTAGACTTGCCTTAAAAACATAAAGCACTGCTTATTTCATGTGTGATGACGACAGCTTGTAGGAGTGTAAAGTGTGAGTAGATCTCCAAGTGCTCACTTGTGAACCAGGCCAAAAAGTTATCAACACTGATTATATAAGTGTGTGTGTTTTATATCTGTTTTTAGGGATTTGTGGGTAAATATATTAAAATATAAAGGTATCTAAAGAATCCCAAGGTAAATCTTCTCAAATGCATATATTATGATAACATCTTCTTACTTCAGATTAATGTCTTATAAATACACTTATACTCTAAGAAATTAATTTCTGTAAGACTCGACTGTATTCTTCATAGTTTTCACATTAATCATGACACATTATTATGTTTTGCAAATCATTTTTCACTTATTATTTTGCTATATTTCACTTGCTCTGGCTTTAAATGTAAAATTCAGGTTTAATCAATAATTAGCACAATAGAATAGACAAAAAAAAGAATATTTTTTTGTATATTTTTTTTAATATTTTTCTGAAAGTATATTTTTTTATTCTGAATGTATTCCAATTTATTTAGTTTGTTCCTTGTATTAATATCCCAGTGTTTCGGTTCTTGTTAATGTCAATGTTAAGTTTGAAGGGTTATCTAATCTCCTGTATTCCTGTTTTTAGTGATTTTGTATTATCAAGTATAACTTGTAACTCACTTTACTGTGTTATCT